TTCATTTTATGTATAAAAAATTTTTTTTTTTTTAAATCTTCATATGGTCTAAATAATTAGGGGTTTTTCTAAAGAAAGATCATGTACAATTGAGAAAAACAATGAAAAATTAATGGATAGTTTTTACAGTCAGATAAAATATCAGTAAAATTAATTATAAGACATCTCCTTTTGTGTTTGACCCCAATCACATGGATTTGGAACAACATGACACCCTCAAATTACATTTTTGGGTGAACTATCCATTAAAAGTTTTGTAAAACTTAAACTTCTAAAAGTAGGTATCCTGATTTTTCTTAAAAATGTTCAGAAAGTTTAGATCTCTGTGTGCTTCATGGTGATGATGACTACAGCATGGTTGTTGTTAAAGGCATCTGTAGCCGGGTTTCCATCCAAAGTTGTGAATTTAACTTATGCGCAAAATTGAAATATCGCATTAAAACATTTGCGAATAAGCACCGTTTCCATCCAACGAATCAAAGAGAACAAAATCGTCACTTCCTGGTAGAACTGGCGCTAGGCTATATATCACTATGAAAAGTAGGAGATACCCCTGAATATTATAATTTTCATAGGCCTATATAATAAATTACTTGCGCCTCAAGAGCGAGCAGACAAAACAAAATAAATGCGGTCATTGCTTTCGGAGGTGGATGCTGCTGTTTGGGAACACAGTCGTGTAACAGTTCTGGGAGGCAATTACACAGAAATACGTTGATGACAGACTTTGCTCGGACATTTCAAAATGACCATAACATTTCAGATACTGAAGAACGAGATTGGTCCACTGGTTAGGTTTTGCCGTCCCATTGCGCAGTCGCATGACTTTTTTGATGCGCATGGAGGAATTTACTCGGCAAATGTTTGCATTAACCCTTTTTCGCACAAGTCAAAAACCACCTCAAGTGAGCGTAAAAACGTTTTTGCGATTTTTATTCGAAATTTGCCGTTTCCATCACTCGTTTCTCATGCAATACTTCAAAATGCGCATAAAAACAGGGTGATGGAAACATAGCTAATGACATTTTGCTACAGTAAAGAAAATGTTTGTTTTATTGTCTATGTACAGATTACGCTTTAAGGACTCTTACTTTGTAGTATTTAATTGCTAGCTCTGGCCTTTGGGCCCTGAGAAGGAAGGCCTCAGCTTTTTGGAATTCCTTCTGGTCAAAACAGAACTTGGCCTGGCTCACTAGAATGTCTGCCACACTTTCCGGATCATGAGCCTCTGCCACTCTCTGGGCATTACTCCAGTCCTTGTTATGGACGTGCCTGCAATAGAAACAGAGACACGGTCACCCATATTTTAAATATAATTTTTAAAAATTCTATGATAAAATGTATATACAATGACCACACAGTCAGTTGGATTAAAGATACTGAAACCATTATGTAAAACCAAAATATGGACTGACATATCTTTTAATAATGTCTTTTATAAATAGCCATGAAATAATTTACCTATTCCCTTTTTCATCACTGCAAAGCTCAGTTACGAGTATTTTTGTCCATAGTTTTTTAGTTTCTTTTTCTTACTTCCATTGTTTTTTTAAGCATAAAAGTTCAGTAATTTTTGTAATTATAATTATACTTAAAAGAAAAAAAAGGACTTTTTAGATCATTAACAATATGATTTCTTGGAGTCATCAGATCATCTTTGGCTCACTGCCACTGTAGCAGCAAAGCACCAGCATATCACTCCTCCATGAGATCTACAAATCAAACACTCTCAATCCCAATGCCACCTGCTTCCAGTTACTCATTGCTTGTAATGTGATAAAGTGCATAAAATCAGTACTCTATGCACACAAAAAAGTACTGAAGCGATGCAATCCCCCCTATAGAGTGGTCTGTATGTACCGCTGAAGGAAAGTGTGATATGAAAGCTCACTCACATTAGCACAGCCTCCTTGGGTTTCCCGGCTTTGATGAACTCAGTCTCAGCCTCATTGAATTTACCCTTAAAAGTTAAAAATAAAAATTTATCTGTGCACCATGCGATCATTAATAATGAGAATAATAAACTCTAGGTCTGGGTATTAATAATAATAATGCAAAACTCAGGCCTGTTTTAGAGTAAGTGTAGGGTAATATGTCATAATAACAAATTTTAATACAGCAATATTTTCAAAATTTCATAGATTTAGCATTCTGCAAGACTACACATTTTTGTAGTCAAGGTGGGAAATTAAATTGTTTTGGGTTTTTTTGCCCACTTGCTACAATGGCTGGTGATTGACATATTTTTACCAGCATTTTTTTATTTGTTATTTTATATTATTATGTTGATAAATATATTATTATGTTTATAATTGTTATTTTTATTTACATGTATTATATTAATTAAAATAAGCCTACAGAAAAAAAACTACTTATAAAGCCATAAACATTCAATCTTCACACTGGAATCTGCATTATAAAAGACCAAATCAGACAAGAAAAATGAAAAGCATTCACAGCCCTGACCTTGAAAGTGGACCATTGTAGTTGTCTTTGTCTATTTCACATTCACACCCGTATTTGGCTGGAGTCACAGGCAGTAACAGTGAAGAAAAGAGGAATAATTTCTCCCCAGTCTGTAATACCTGGTCCTCGAGGAACATGGCATTTTTTAGATGAATATCAGGAATCTTCTGTTTCATGGCGAGTCGGGCCAACTCAAAGGCAAAGTCAAATGCACTAAAAAAGACAAAGAGTGTTTCATTATAGAGTAAATAAAAGCCAATTTTACTATGCATTGGTTAATTGTTATCTGTATGCACCAATTATACCTGAAAATGGTATAATAGTGTTTGGACCATTAAGTCCTAACAGAGACTTACTAGTTATCAGCAGCAAAGTCAATGGCGGTTTCCAGAAAGCCAAACTTGTTGAGCAGCTTAACTGCCACCTCTCCTCCGAGATTTTTTGCCCACAGATAGGCCACTTGCTTATGGGCACTGGCTCCTCCATGGGTCTTTGCTATCTGTTGCAAAGACATGAAGAGAACCTTTGAATGTTTAAAGCTCTCTACTTTCTACATTATATCAACTCAAGTATCATATAAGACTATGTAGTGTGCACACACACCCGATAAGCTTCCTCCCACATATCATTGACTCTGTACATGTTTACGGCAGCTTTCCAGTCCTGACCCTCTAGGTAATGATACTCCGCTTCCTGAAACCTGGATTCAGCCTCTAGCTCCTGTGATAAACACAGCACACAGCACTAAGACCATGTGAAGGATCTACTGAGCAATAATAAGACAAAACCGCACCAAAAGAGATTTGGGTCAAATGTGTTTTGTAACTAAATGTGAATAGAAAGAATAAAAGAATGGAACAAATGTACTCTTGAACCTTAGCCAGGTGAATGCGCGTTTCCTGCAGTAGGTCTTTGTGATGAACAGCGACTAAACGGATCATGTCGTCAAACATTTTGTTCTTCTTGTACATAGTGATGGCCAAGTCTGGTTCAACTACTGTGGTAAAAAGCCTAAAGACGGTAAATTTCAAATGTGTGAATTCCAGTATGAAATGTGACTGAAATCTCAAACATGTTGACATTCTTTTCAGAGTTAAAAATTGTTATTTTAAAAAATAAAATAATTTCTTATTATAAATTAACCCAGCCAAAACATAGGTCAAATTCGAAAAAACAACAGTGTTTATTATATGTGTATGTTTTTACCTTTCAGCTTCTTTGTACTTCCCCTCTCTCTCTAACTCTTGTGCTCTGCTGATGTAGAGGGCAGACACATCCTCTTGTGACATGCACTTCACAGCAAGCTGTGTCAGAGACGGACAGATAGATAACAAGAGAGGGGAACAAAAAGATACATAATTCAAATGTAAATTGGTGATGATTAGTAATAATTAAAATGTAAATTGTTCATGATTTGAATGAAGAAAAAAAAACAATTGCAGTTGTATTCTCAGCTTCCATCCAATTTATAATTACTACTACACACTGATTTGTTAGCATGTTGCTATGCAATTGCAAGAGTGTTCTTGGTGGTTGCTAGGTCAAAAGAGGCCACCTCAAGTTTTATACAAGTCTCGGTTTTCTCTTCCCATGTAAATCTATGGGATCTAAGGCATTTAATCATCAACAAAAATATTGACACTAAAATATACAGCTATTATTAATGAATGTATACTTTATCAATATCTTTGCAGAGGGGCCCAATGTGACACTGACCTTATGAGCTTGCTCCCATCGCCCAGCCTGAGTGTACATATCTATAGCATCTTTGGTATGATCACCCTTCACAAACAGACGTTCTGCCACCTGTAGTTCAGAGAAATATAATTAGCCAACACAGATTCAAACCAGATCATATTTTTAGAAATGCGAGACCGTTTGTTAATATTTGACAGCTGGAATTTTTTTTTACCTCAAACTCCTGCACAGAAGCATAGTGCTGAGCTATTTTCAGGTAATATTTGGCAGCAGTCTTGTCCTCCTGTAGCTCCAGTATGTGCAATGCTTTCTTCCACTGGCGTGCTGCGATTGCTGCCTCTATGGCCTTGGTGGAACATCTTTTACAGGGAGGTTATTTTTATTTACATGTATTATATTAATTAAAATAAGCCTACAGAAAAAAAACTACTTATAAAGCCATAAACATTCAATCTTCACACTGGAATCTGCATTATAAAAGACCAAATCAGACAAGAAAAATGAAAAGCATTCACAGCCCTGACCTTGAAAGTGGACCATTGTAGTTGTCTTTGTCTATTTCACATTCACACCCGTATTTGGCTGGAGTCACAGGCAGTAACAGTGAAGAAAAGAGGAATAATTTCTCCCCAGTCTGTAATACCTGGTCCTCGAGGAACATGGCATTTTTTAGATGAATATCAGGAATCTTCTGTTTCATGGCGAGTCGGGCCAACTCAAAGGCAAAGTCAAATGCACTAAAAAAGACAAAGAGTGTTTCATTATAGAGTAAATAAAAGCCAATTTTACTATGCATTGGTTAATTGTTATCTGTATGCACCAATTATACCTGAAAATGGTATAATAGTGTTTGGACCATTAAGTCCTAACAGAGACTTACTAGTTATCAGCAGCAAAGTCAATGGCGGTTTCCAGAAAGCCAAACTTGTTGAGCAGCTTAACTGCCACCTCTCCTCCGAGATTTTTTGCCCACAGATAGGCCACTTGCTTATGGGCACTGGCTCCTCCATGGGTCTTTGCTATCTGTTGCAAAGACATGAAGAGAACCTTTGAATGTTTAAAGCTCTCTACTTTCTACATTATATCAACTCAAGTATCATATAAGACTATGTAGTGTGCACACACACCCGATAAGCTTCCTCCCACATATCATTGACTCTGTACATGTTTACGGCAGCTTTCCAGTCCTGACCCTCTAGGTAATGATACTCCGCTTCCTGAAACCTGGATTCAGCCTCTAGCTCCTGTGATAAACACAGCACACAGCACTAAGACCATGTGAAGGATCTACTGAGCAATAATAAGACAAAACCGCACCAAAAGAGATTTGGGTCAAATGTGTTTTGTAACTAAATGTGAATAGAAAGAATAAAAGAATGGAACAAATGTACTCTTGAACCTTAGCCAGGTGAATGCGCGTTTCCTGCAGTAGGTCTTTGTGATGAACAGCGACTAAACGGATCATGTCGTCAAACATTTTGTTCTTCTTGTACATAGTGATGGCCAAGTCTGGTTCAACTACTGTGGTAAAAAGCCTAAAGACGGTAAATTTCAAATGTGTGAATTCCAGTATGAAATGTGACTGAAATCTCAAACATGTTGACATTCTTTTCAGAGTTAAAAATTGTTATTTTAAAAAATAAAATAATTTCTTATTATAAATTAACCCAGCCAAAACATAGGTCAAATTCGAAAAAACAACAGTGTTTATTATATGTGTATGTTTTTACCTTTCAGCTTCTTTGTACTTCCCCTCTCTCTCTAACTCTTGTGCTCTGCTGATGTAGAGGGCAGACACATCCTCTTGTGACATGCACTTCACAGCAAGCTGTGTCAGAGACGGACAGATAGATAACAAGAGAGGGGAACAAAAAGATACATAATTCAAATGTAAATTGGTGATGATTAGTAATAATTAAAATGTAAATTGTTCATGATTTGAATGAAGAAAAAAAAACAATTGCAGTTGTATTCTCAGCTTCCATCCAATTTATAATTACTACTACACACTGATTTGTTAGCATGTTGCTATGCAATTGCAAGAGTGTTCTTGGTGGTTGCTAGGTCAAAAGAGGCCACCTCAAGTTTTATACAAGTCTCGGTTTTCTCTTCCCATGTAAATCTATGGGATCTAAGGCATTTAATCATCAACAAAAATATTGACACTAAAATATACAGCTATTATTAATGAATGTATACTTTATCAATATCTTTGCAGAGGGGCCCAATGTGACACTGACCTTATGAGCTTGCTCCCATCGCCCAGCCTGAGTGTACATATCTATAGCATCTTTGGTATGATCACCCTTCACAAACAGACGTTCTGCCACCTGTAGTTCAGAGAAATATAATTAGCCAACACAGATTCAAACCAGATCATATTTTTAGAAATGCGAGACCGTTTGTTAATATTTGACAGCTGGAATTTTTTTTTACCTCAAACTCCTGCACAGAAGCATAGTGCTGAGCTATTTTCAGGTAATATTTGGCAGCAGTCTTGTCCTCCTGTAGCTCCAGTATGTGCAATGCTTTCTTCCACTGGCGTGCTGCGATTGCTGCCTCTATGGCCTTGGTGGAACATCTTTTACAGGGAGGAAATGACATACACTCTTAAAAATAAAGGTGCTGCATGATGCACCATGATATTTTGTAACCTTTTAGATGTCTTTGCTGTCACTTTTGAATAATTGAATGCATCCTTGCTGAATAGAAGTATTAATTTAAATAAATAAATGGTGGTGTAAATGCACCATTTTAATTAAGCTGAAGAAAACTGAGATTGAAAATGTATTTTTTTGCCATGATCTATAGAGGTTTGTTATTCTAGAAACTCACCCTGCTTCTATGTAATGGTTGATGGCAGCATCCATTTTTTTCTGCTGCACTAGATAGTCACCCCACACTTCCTCCAGCTTTACAACTTCTGCAGGAAACGCAACGCGAGCCAAATCCATTGCTGTGGAAGCACAATGCAATCAGCAGAGGTCAATGAAGGCAATAAATCTAAAGCTCTGATGCTTTGCATTACAACCACTTACTTATTGTTCGAATTGAAATGTGACACCCTATTCTGATTGTTCTTACCAGCTAGGCTCACCTTTCTTAAAAGCATTTCCCTTGCGGTAGCACTCCAAGGCCTTCTGATTATTTCTTGTCCTTTCAAACAGGTCGCCTGCCTGTTGAGTTTAATAATACTTAGAATTATGAATAATTAGAAGTAAAACAATTTCCCTTCAAATCTGTGAAACAATACCATGTCAGTGTGAGTGGTTGTGCTACTCATTTGAAAGTTATGAATGCATGAAACTTAACAGTTGCCATTTTGTCAAGCCACATGCCGTTGTTGCAGGTCAAACTCACCCTCTCATAAAACTCTCCTTTAATGAGTGCAGCAGTGATGCGGCTGATGATGTCATGGCTTGATAAAAGCTCGTCTCTGCTCATGGCCAGCCAAGCAGCTTTGGCAGGAAGTCCTGCTTTCAGGTAGAGGTTAACAGCACCAGTGAAGTCTCCTTCATTCTCCTTCACCTCACCGGCTTTCTCATTCTGATTGGTCTCCATTAGGTAAGAATAGTAACTGCGTCTCAAATTGTCCAACTCTGGGTGACCCTTCAAGGGATATACACATTGAATATTAGTAAAAAGCTGATTTTGCAGCATCATAGAGACAGCTGCTAAATGCAAATAATATAAAATGCAACTAACCACCATATAATTGTGCATAGTTAAGATAGCAACATAAAAAGGCTTATTGACTTTTATACGGGATTAGAAAATATTGTGGAAATATGGATACATTTTGTGATATGCCTTCATCCTCAAAAAAAAACATGAACAAAACTACACATTGAAAATATGACTGAAATGATGGAATCACTCAAAATGAAAATAAACATGGTTTGTGCTGTCTATAACATGTTTTATGGTGTGAATTGTTGACTGCTGACGCGTGAAACGATCAAAATTCAAGAGACATTCAGAATCCAGACACTCAATGATTTTGTATACTGTTGCAGTTCATGGTAATATTGAAATGGTAACAGAGTAATAAATCACAATGTTTTATTTTAAGGACATTTTTTTTTACTTGTGTACAGTAATCAATTCTGGTTCCATGTTGGATGACTACTTGAGTTCTAATGTATCTGAGTGAAACGTGTTGAGAACCCCTGTTTTAGGCTAAATAAAACAAAACATGTGGACTAGAGGTTATGAATATTTATGATATTGTATGTAAAAACAGATATTACCTTCGCCTCTGCCACTGCAATACATTCATCCCACATGTGAAGCTCCTGGTACATTTCCATCACTTCATCCACCGCATTCTGCAGAGTTACAGCAATATTACTCGCAGCTATCGAGATATAACCATCTCAGCTCTATTGCTCCCACGTATGAACTGTCCAATGCCATTTTTAAACTCAATTGGCAAATGGATAAAGAAAAGCAGTGGTAAATACTTTTTTAGAGATCAATTTTAACATTAATAATTATTAATTTAGTCATTTTAATTATTATTTGATCATTTATTTTTTTAATTATTAGTTTTAACTTAATTTATTGTTAAATGTAACATTTATTTAATTTTTTAACATCAATTAAAGGGGTCATATGATGCGATTTCAAGTTTTCCTTTCTCTTTGGAGTGTTACAAGCTGATTGTGCATAGATAAGATCCCTGAAGTTGCAAAGACTAAAGTCTCAAATCCAAAGAGATATTCTTTATCAAAGTTAAGACTCTGCCACGCCCCCCTCACTATGTGGAAATATTTGCGTAATGCCGCCCAAATGTTCACGTAAAGAAAGAAGCCGTGGTTTCAGTAACCGCAGTTAGTGTTGAAGCAGCCATGTCAGGGAGACGCGGTGTGTTTCTAGGCGAAAGCAAAAACACTTTATTTGGCCTTCCGGAAGTAGATGCATTTAGGAATCACTTACAATACTTACAACAGAACAGCAATGCATTTTATGGACGACCGTTTTGTGAACCTAGGAGAGGAGACTTTGCTATGACAATCTGGCGCTTGTGAAGCAGGTACTGTTTTGTTATTAGTTTAAGTATTTGCGCCTTACATTTCCGAGGAGTGCTTGCGGTGTTCGGCCAATCACAATGCTCTGGGTCAGCTGGCCAATCAGAGCAGACTGCGCTTGTCAAAGGAGGGGGCTTTGTAGAAAACGAAGCGTTTGAGAGAGGCGGGGCATAGAGGACCTGCAATAATGTACAGTATTTGAAAAATAATGTGTTTTTTGAACATTAAAGCATGTCAACATATTTTGTTACACCAAATACACCAAATAATGATCTTTAAAAAAGCATCATATGACCCCTTTAAATAAACAGTTCAAAAGCATGTTTGTTCATTTATTTGTTAATTTAAAAAGGGTTTTGTTTATTTTCATTTGAATTTAATACACTGGCAATTGTATTTTTAAGTGGCACTCCTACTTGCAAGTATCAGAAACTATTCTTTACCTGTTCCATGTAATACATCTCTGCAAGCTTAAAGTTCTTATCCAGCATGGCCAGTCGTGCTTTTACCTGGTAGTGGTCTGTACCATCACCACCCTACAGGAGAGAATATAACATTGAAATGTAAAATACATAAGCAAACAACAACAACAAAAAACGTACATTCTACAAATGAACAGACAAAATATTAGAGATGCTACAGGCTGAGGACCTGTCTGTCCTTCAAAAAAATTGTATGCACTACATACATATTCCTTTGAGACTGAATCTGCAATTTTGTTGGTCTCATTTAGTTTTATTTATTTTCTTTTCAATTTAATAGTTGTAGGTATCAGAAACTATTCTTTACCTGTTCCATGTAATACATCTCTGCAAGCTTAAAGTTCTTATCCAGCATGGCCAGTCGTGCTTTTACCTGGTAGTGGTCTGTACCATCACCACCCTACAGGAGAGAATATAACATTGAAATGTAAAATACATAAGCAAACAACAACAACAAAAAACGTACATTCTACAAATGAACAGACAAAATATTAGAGATGCTACAGGCTGAGGACCTGTCTGTCCTTCAAAAAAATTGTATGCACTACATACATATTCCTTTGAGACTGAATCTGCAATTTTGTTGGTCTCATTTAGGAATCGGGCTTTGGACACATCTCCAAGGGCTGCAAAACACCTGCGGAAAAACCCAACACCACCTCAGAAGAGAAACAGTAAATAACGACCAAATACCAACATCACATGCAGTATCATTTCACATTCAACCACCAATTCTGCAATAAACTCAGGGCATTTAGGTTGGACAACACTGATCAGCCATGATCACATGTCTAAAAGTGACTTCAAGCAAAAGAGTATTCAGTCAATTCTTTCATTTCATTCTCCTTCACGGTCAGACCACTTTTTATCTGTATGCTTCATGCAGATAAGCCTATATATAACAAACCAATCCTGCATTATTAAAGACCCTCTAATTTAAATTCCAGCTTCAAGCCCTCTTAAAAATGCTTATACAGTAAAAAGAAAACTCTAAACATGCTCACTGCCTCCTGAAGCGACTGGATGCCTTTTTAAGAGAACCTTTGGTGCTCAGTGCTAAAGCTTTTACCCTTCCGCACAAGCTCAGGTGAAGGGTTTTTTCTCTTTTGCAACAGATTACACACATTTTTCTTTAGGCAGAATATTATCTGAGACACATTTAAGCATTTAAAATGTAACACACAGAGCAACTGTGCAGAATACCAGCTTTCTTAAAGGATCTTTAGTGAGGAATAGTGATTCTTTCCTTAAATGGAAATATTACTGTTTTAAAGACAGTTCTGGGGTCTTTTCCTATAGAACAATTCAGAATATATTAAAGAAGATGCATCATACATTTTCATTTTTATTCTCTGAGGTCAATTTATAATGCTATTCAGGGTTTTTTATAGATATTTTTTTCCCCCACCAAAAACAGTTTTACATGCCCACCCTTTCTCTGACCCATTCACTGCAGATCCATTGGTGTGCAAGTAATGTAATGCAAATTTTTTCCAAATCTCATTCAAAGAAGAAACAAACTTGTCTACATCTTTGATGGCCTGAGGGTGAGTAAATTTTCATTTTTGGGTGAACTAGTCGGTTAATATTTTTATGCAAACAGCATTTTCACCTGTGAAATGAGTCAAATATGGTTTTTAACTGGCCCAATAACAGCTTGGATTACCTTTTGACACAATGATGACATTTACATATGGGTGGCCATGTATTAAAGGGGTCATATGATGCGATTTCAAGTTTTCCTTTCTCTTTGGAGTGTTACAAGCTGATTGTGCATAGATAAGATCCCTGAAGTTGCAAAGACTAAAGTCTCAAAACCAAAGAGATATTCTTTATCAAAGTTAAGACTCTGCCACGCCCCCCTAAAACGGCTCGTTCTAACACGCCCCACATATCTACCTCACTATGTGGAAATATTACCATAATGCCACCCAAATGTGCACGCAAAGAAAGAAGGCATGGTTTCAGTAACCGCAGTTAGTGTTGAAGCAGCATGTCAGGGAGACGCTGTGTGTTTCTAGGCGAAAGCAAAAGCACTATATTTGGCCTTCCGAAAGTAGATGCATTAAGATTACTTACAACAGAACAGCAATGCATTTTATGGACGACCGTTTCGTGAACCTAGGAGAGGAGGTAATTCTGACTTAGCTATGACAATCTGGCGCTTCTGAATCAGCTACTGTAAGGGACGTAACATTTCCGTCACACGCTTGAGGAATTTGGCCAATCACAACGCACTGGATAGCTGGCTAATCAGAGCACACCTCGCTTTTCAGACCGATTAGTTTTGTAAAAATCGACGCGTTTCAGAAGGCGGGGCATAGAGGAGAAACAATAATGTACAGTATGTGGAAAATAATGTTGTTTTTTTACTTTAAACCGCATAAACACATTTCATTACACCAAATACACAAAATAATGTTCTTTTTAGCAGCATCATATGACCCCTTTAATATATCAATTCACAGTCACTAAAGGTAGAGACAATGTAACAGATTAGTTTGAATAATTCTTTTTGAACTTATTGGGCAAGATATTTTGAGTACAGTGTGCCTACAGTAAATGCTTTCATTTCAAACGATCAAGGAATATTACATATTCATGATATGACCCTTTAAGAATGTATTGTTACTGTGCTGATTCAATGTGTTTATATTTAATTGTTTAGTTCTTCTGTAGTGCCAATTAGATGCATATTAAGAGCAAATAAAAATAAAAAACTAAAGGTGCAAAAATAAATGCAGCAATGCTATTAATAGAATGAAAGAATCGTTAAGAAAGACAGTAAGATTATTGTATTTATGTAATCATGTGAAAGGTGTTTTTTTCTATTGTCAGTACAAGGGCTGTAATTAATATGTTTATTCGCACACATCTGCCAGTGACTGCGCTGTCTTTGGGTAGTTAGGTGTTGGTAAACAATAAAATAAAATATTCTTGCATTAAGGTGGCCCAACAAACAAATAAATTATTTAATTAAAGTTTAATTTATTTGTATTTAACACTTCAAAAATCATAATCAACTGCACTGCAAAATTGTGCTGTGTACTGTGCTGCTCCTTTAACAAATTTAACGTCATGTAAGAAATTTGTCCCCTATAAATGCAAGTAACCATGTATTAAATGATATGACCCTATGTCAGTTCAGTTACTTCTAAGGACGATGACCCTTTGTAAAGTTCAATAGAAGAAGTTAAAAAAAAATAAAAAATGATTCTAGGATAATCTGTAAAGGAATTCAAAGAAACGAGATTTTTGAATTCTGTCATACTGGTTCCTAGTTGTCAAGGTTAGACACATGATCTGGACAGCTATGCTGAAGTCATCGCAGCGGTAGCTGAGTCATAGAGGTGGGTGGACTGTCTTGCTTGTCTAACCTCTCAGCGATGTGGAGCTGTTGTGCCTCTAGGGAGAGTTTACTCAGAGTCTTCCACAAGGCCTCTGTCTCTGCCGACATCTCCAGGGTCTCTAGGAATGCTGTAGCTCTGCACACACACATACATTACACACAAATCCAGCTATGAATAAGGATACTTACATCATTTAAAGGGATAGGTCACCCAAAAATAAAAATTCTGTCATCGTTGACTCAGCCTCATGTTGTTTCAAACCTGTATGACTTTCTCTGTTTTGTGGAACATAAAAGAAGCCATTGGTATTTAAACTGTGTTGGTTACCACTGATTCCATTGAATCATTGAGACATTTCTCAAATTATCTTCTTTTATGGGGATGTGGGTGACAGAATTTAAGCAACACAAATGTAAATTTATGCTCTTAAAAAAAGGGCATTATTAAGGTGTAATCCATGTTTATTGCAGGTGTCTGTGGTATTTTTTATTTATTTTTACCTGTAATAGTCACCATCATCAATGGCTGTACCAAATTCAATCAACCCCTCATCCAGAGTGTAGGAGACAGAGTTAACCCCTTCAGTCACAATGACTTCAGTTTTTCCATTGGATCTCTCCAGATCTACAATATCACCCTGTCGCAACACAAGTCACATGATTAAACTCACAGTCGACTCAAACAAGAAACTGAAACGGTAAGGTGCAAATTCATTCAACAGCATTTCGGTGAAAAATCTTATTAATCTGCATTCTGCAGTCCATTATACTACTTTTTTTCTTTTTTCTGTTGATCATGGCTGCACCAAAAATGATTAAATGGTAAATAATTACGCTACCATTCAAAAGTTTGGGTCAGTAAGATTTCTTTTAAGAAATTAATATATTTATTTAGGGAGGATGTATTAAATTAATCAAAAGTGACAGATAGAAAGATATTTATTGTGTTACAAAAGATGTTACAAAATAAATGCTGTTCTTTTGAACTTTCTATTCATCAAAGAATCCTAAAAAAATGTGACCGTAAAAAAAAAAACTGAAATATTGTTAAGAGTTTCCACAAAAAATATTAAGCAACACAACTGAGTTCAATATTGATAATAATAAGAAATCATCATATTAGAATTCAGCTTTGACATCACTGGAATAAATTCCATTTTAAAATATAGTTGATAGAAAACAGTTATTTTAATTGTAATAACATTTCACAATATTTATAACTATTAATAAATATATAACTATTAACTTCAGCTCACCTTGAGGGGAAACATCGTGACCCTCTCCGGGCTGTCGATGGTGTACCAAACACACAGGTTTCCTCTGTTCTGGGCCACAACTACATCACTACCCGGTACCCACTGAACATAAGGACAGAAACTCAGCATGGTGCTCTTCAGGCTGCTCTCGATGTCATACAAGTGGAGCTGAATGTGGAGAAAGTGACTGAAGTGACAAATCATTCTGATTTTACTAGTAATATAAGAGCTTAAATAACAACGTTGGCCCTTACCCTGAGTTTCTTGTCCCTAAAAAGCAGTTTACGCCCCGTTTCATTCAGCTCCAGCCAGTCTATCTTGGAGTCATGGCTTATAGTGCCCAGATTATACCCACCCACCAGGTCCACTGAGAAAAACAGGAAGAGAAAAGGATTATGGGAGATGAATGCACCATTTACCAGATGCAGATTATTTTCTGTTCATCCAAGGTCAGAAATTAAGCATTATAGTTAACTTTTAAACAGTAAGAGGCTTTTAGACAATGGTTTTTAAAGAACAGATAAAGTACTTTCCATCCCCCCCAAAAAAAATCTATAATAAACAGAATGATAAAAATTTGGAGATGGCTGCCATGAACGTCACATACTCGTACACAAAGACACGCAGCAAAAACGGAGGCACTGCCTTTCATACAGACCCTGAACATCCGTGCCCTAACAAAAACAAATCAATGAGTCTTTCATGAATCCCGTTCTGTGACGCTTCCCTGCATTTCTGGCTCTTTGTTCATAAATAACCATTCTGATGGGAAGCATCACTTATGGAGGAGGACGAGGGGGGGAGAAGGAGAGGAAAAACACTTTCCAATTTGCACTTTCTGAACAGGTTTTAAGCACATGGATCAGTGAGGGGGAAAAGCACTCTGCTGTCTGTCAGATGAAAATAAATTGGATGAAAGTTGTTTCTCATTTTCACCACCTGAAGAAGAAACAAGGCAAGCAGGACAGAGGGAGCATGCCAGGACTTAATTAGGGCAGGAAGTGGTCAGAACCGTGGCAGTTGGCTGACGGTAACTGGTGAAGGAGAGGGCCGTGACGATGACACAGCAAGGCCGGTGTCTAATTGAAAGGTAACGTCCGAACCATCCAAACGTCAACACACCTTCCTAGTGTCCCTCAAATGATCCTCTCTCCAAATAACGGGTCATATGGAGAAGGTGTGCCATTTAGAGCGGAAACAGATGATTATGTAATCAATACCACTGATGACGTTGTTTCATTAAGCTGTTGATGACAGATGACAATGAGCTAATGTGACTATAATTCCATATAATTTAGTGCATTTTTGCATTTGCTAAATGTCTAAATACATATTTTTTTCACACAGGACATGCAAAACTGAGCTATAAGAGTGGGAAGACATGTGATTAATCAAAACTTTAAAATAAAATGGTATTAAAATTATTTTTCCATTTTAGTAGATAATAGATAACCTCCCTGTCTGGGCAGTAACTCACCGATAGCAATAGTTTTTATGTCAATCAGGTAAGCCAACTTTCTGTTGTCCTCCACTCCCCTCTGCCTTCTCTCATTCAGACGCACACTGCAAACACAAACACACAAACCGAGGAATAAACACTTCCTGTGGGTGCTGTATATATATATATATTTTTTTTTTTTTTTTTTTCCAATATATAATTTACAATAACATAACTTTTTTAAATGGGGAAAGTCATTACAAAGGTAAAAAAGGATTTTACTTTTTTGATGAAGAATTATACAAACAAATGTAGTAACAAAGTAAAGCATTTTGAATTTACTTTGCCTTGGCTTTTAAAATGGCTTTTGCTTTCCAAAGTGTTTCCGAAATGGCAGACCTGATGAGGTGTGGGTTCATAAACTCTGTCCGAACAGATCCCAGGATTTCATTGCTTCCGTATTCCACCAGTGCCAGCTCTCCAGCGTTGAAAATCATGCACACCTACCCAGAAATATAGCAATTTACAATTAGACAGCAATGACTTTAATTATACCAGCTAGGGCTGCATGATTCATTAAACCCAGTCGTTTTCCCTTTGCACCATTCTCATAAATGACTGAGGCATCTTAATAACACACAATAATATAACAAAAACACCGTACCGTTTCATTTTCAAAGAAAAACTTTTCATTTCCCCCGGACCCCTGCCACGCCACCTGTAATGGGAGAGTGATGTTGTATATTGAAGTACAACACACATCAACTTTTGCTTTCCACTACATTACACAGAAAGAAGCAGAGGCAGAGAGACATTGCAACCAAGGCCCTTCACCATTATCCTGTTTGTCACACTGAACTATCTTCCAACTCCCATAAGAGCACTTTGGAAACTCAATTAAACATGGATTAGCACAGTGAACCATGACAGCCCTTGAACTTTTAATTAGACATTTTAAACTTTGGTCCACCCGATGGAGGCATTGACTCTGTTACAATATGAGAAAACTTGTCCAGAAACAGTTTGAATACAGACCGTTTTAACTAAACAGAGACTTTAATACAGGCTGAATGGTAAAAAATGATCTAACAAAACTATATATAAGAAATAAAGCAACTGTGAATAATCAAACACGTCCAGACTAGACATCCTACCTCACTTAATTTGTTGGATACCAGATCTACCAAGCACTGCATTCTGACAGCACCTGACAGGCTTTATACATGAATGCTGATTTGTGATGACTAGGTCTTCTCACTAAGAGCCAGCCAGAATGACAGTACCAGGACAACTGAGAAATCGAAGGTAAATTACGCCATCTAGTGGTCAGTATTAGATATGACTTTTCTGGGTAATGTAATTCTTTATCATACAGAGTAATATAACTCTTGTACAAAAGTTTTGTTCACTATGAAATTATGTGATACATTAAGTGTTGGAACAAAAAAAATTTGAGAAGGGCCTTTATTTTATTCATATTTTTAAATTAATTATTAAATAATTATTAGTAGATTATGTACTAAATATATTAAATTATTATACCTCATCTATCTCATAACCATACTGAGATTTCAGCACCACTCGTGTGCCAGTGGACAAATTCTTCACGATCACCTGGGAGGGTTTAAGAAACAAAGTTTTAGAACATCCAGTTTGTAAGATGTAAACAAGACTCAAAATAAGAGTCATGACTGAATTGTATTGCTCACTTGACTTAGTCCTACGTATGTCATCTCAAATTTGTTCTTGTAAATACTTCTCCGAAGACAGCAGTCAAACAACTCGACTCCTCCACACAGTGTGCCCTGCAATTTAGAGATGTAATTAGACTTCATCTCCAGTTGTATCAAGTGGCAAAGCCAAACCTCAACATCATTGAACCATTGTTTCTTTTGTTTTTGTCATCCCACTTATATCTTACCAAATTCCCTTGCAGACAAACTTATGAGCAGAAGTGTATATGCAGGATTCAGGATATTTTCAGTATTAGTGTTCCAAGAGAAAACTTCTCTATAATGTGCACAGGTTTGAGTATATGAACAGAATAAATATGTTCTGAAATCTTTATAAAATTGGACATTCAGACTGACCACAGAAAGCCGAGAGCCGTCTTTCTTCCAGGACAGAGCTGTGATGGTGTACAGGTTTGGAATCTCTTTGGGAGAAGCTTCATCCCAGATGCCTTTTCGGGGACTCCAGTTGAAAACTCGCAACCTAGAGAAAACAATTTAGCATAAGAGATACATCACGATTCACGACATTGGAAAAACATTTTTGTTTTCTGTTTAATGTGTTCAAACAGCTTTCTCACCTGTCAAAGCTTCCCACGACTATGGACTGGCCACTGGGGCTAGATGCTGCCACTGTGAATTCCTTTTCGGAGCGATCTCGGCTGTAGTCAAATGTCTGAAGCACGTGGCCCTCCCTTCCATAGGCCACGATCTTCTTATCGCATCCAGCCACAATTATGCTGTTGGTGCCCCATGCCATGGCGTACGGTGGGCATGCATGAGTCAACAATTTGCCCTTTCAACATCAGAACAAATACATATTAAATAATCAGTCATTTAAGCACACGCAAATATAATATTTCAATGAACATATGCATGTTATAAATACATTACCTGAGATTCTCCAGATCCTTCATCATCAAAGAAGTACCGAACAACCGTTCCATCTGCATGACCCGAGAGGATTCCCTTCCCTGAGACACTGGGAAAATGGACCAAGGGAGATAAACAGTGTTATACTGAAATAAAAATAAATTATAGCTATATATAAATATATCTAAATATAATGTAGAAATATTTTTAAAATAATAAAAATGATAAAAGCTCATAACACAACGATTAAAATTAAAAATATAAAATAAAAATAAAAATATAAAAATAAAAACGAATTCAAAATAAGAATAAATCCGATAATAGTATATAAAGAATACTAAAATAACACCCTAAGCAAACCAGAAAATGGTGCTTGGACAAAGAAGCAAGCATCAATAGAGTCAGGATTTTAAATACATACTTTGTCGTTAGTGAGACAACATAAGAGTCCGTTCCGTAGATCATGGAGGACTTGCTTGTTTTTGTATTGGCTTGTCGAACCTGCATTTAACATAAAAAAAACACTCACAAAATAGAAAATTCAGCTTAAGGTTTAAAGCATAGAAAATGTGCCACACTTACTTTACCCTCTGCTAGTCCAAATATTATTGTATGCTCTGATGGCCAAACCAGACATGTTACAGCACTCTAGAGAACAAAAAAGAAAAGTTAATACACACAATATATGGCACTACTGCCTAATGAAGTATCATATTTATCATCAAAATACTTACTGTTTGAATAAATTTGTTGCAAATAATCTTTTTATCTCCCCTGGGACATAAAACATCATATTAGAAATATAAAATGATACAATAATGCAAATTATGCTTGTATGTAAGCATTTTGCGATACTTACCACTCCTCCCCAATTTTGTAAACAAATATAATGTTGTCTGTTTGAGCCACTGCTATCTTGGTTGAATCGAGCGAAAATGCCATGGACTTGACCACATAGGTTTTCTTTCCATACTGCAACAAATTACAAAATCATACCTTTTCTTGATGTGCTAAGAAATTACATGTAGCATTGGTAGACCACAGCATTTATTTTGAAGATTTAATATCATTTCAATAATTCACTGATAACTTACTTTGGGGTCAGCAGGTTTTGTAGTAAATCTGTCTCGTTTCTCTCCTTGCTCATCATACAGTATAACCACTCTATCAATAGTGCACACTGCAAACTTTGAATTGTTAGGAGCCCAAGCCATACAGGTGACTTTAGCAGCTCCATCCTAAAGAAAAGACATTAGAGTCAACACGACGTCCAGTGCAGAGTCTGAGTTGCTTGCTGAGATTTGAATAACATTCGGAATGTGATTTCTACTGTTTGTTTGCACAACGTAAATGCATAAGCTGCAATCTGGCAAGATACTTAAGCATCCTAGTGTTGCTAAACTAAGAAGCGTTATAATGCCTACAGATAGCGGACTGCCAAGAGCTAGTTAGCTAGCGTCGCTGAATAACGTGGTAAAAATATTTACCTGAGGAGTTAGAAGAGTCTTCAGATACTTTAGCTGCATGCTTCACTTTTATAAAAGATTCGGCTGAGTTATACGGACGTATTTCTTGATATAGCTATGTTATGGGTAATAGTTGTCAGGCTGCAGACATCTTGGTAAACATAGCTTTCTCCCTGGTTACCGTCGCCAAGTTAAGAACGTATGACGTAGTTACGTAGAACGACACGAGACGTGTTTGAATTAGTTTACTGCAGTTCATTTTTCAAAAATGTTATTTTTTGATCAAAAGTACTTTATGACGACAGTGTTTAATAATGCTATAATACAATGAATATAATAAAAATACCTCTGGAGATGCCGGGGATTGAACCCGGGGCCTCATACATGCAAAGCATGCGCTCTACCACTGAGCTACATCCCCTTTCTATTGCAGAAGATTGTTAGAATAGTATGTATTACAGTAATATATACAGGACACCATATAGTGTTGTAAATTTATTCTTTTTGTGTATACACACACATATACGCGCGCGCGCGCGTGTGTTGATTTACAAAAATTAACCATGGTTTTACAATTACTACTATTACTACTACAAAAAAGCATGGCTATTATGCTAACCACAAATTAACCATGGTTTCGTTTCGGCACACTAACCACAGTTTAACCATGTTGTAAAACTGTGGTTATCAACTGGAAAAAAAAAACTGAAAACACATAAAACAACAACAATATTAAAATAACAAAAAACATGGTTACCGTTGTACATTTTAAAAACCGTTAAATAAATAAAACCGTTGTTGATTTTCGTAATAAAGTATCATACGAATAACACCATTAGTTTTAATACAGACTAATCACACAAATAATTCCTCATAATAAAATCATCATGACATAAAACTGTGGCCACATGCTGCAATAGCAACATCTAAAATTAACTACACTAATGTACTCTAGGTGACAGGTCAAACAAACAGCATTGTGACTGGAAACTAACAGACGGGGCTCTGACACATACAGAACCACCGGAACAAGCTGTACCTGAGATCCAAACGTACTGAAACATGTTCAAGGAGTAGAACCACCAAAACAGCTATGTGAAAACACAGAAGGAGGAATAATTAGTTTTTGTGCTGACTAGACCAGAGACATGCATAACCAGGTTATTCAGAGCTTTGAGAGGGTACTGCACAACCTCTGGTTCATAAAAGACATTTTTGAGCTCATTGTTGGAGCGGTCTTTTACTTTTTTGAAGCATTTGTTCGACTGTTTATTCCACATTGCAAGAAAGATGTTGAGGGAGAGATAGTCTTGGTGACTGGAGCTGCAAATGGGATTGGAAAGCTGATTGCCAAAGAACTTGGCCACCATGGAGCAACATTAGTCTTATGGGATATCAACTCAGATGCACTGGACAAGACAGCCAAAGAATTAAAGCAAGTATTGGATGTGCGTGTGTATGCCTATACCTGTGACTGCAGCAGAAGAAGTGAGGTCTACAAAGTTGCTGAACTGGTAAATAATTATTAAATCAATAATTGCCAGCATTGCAACTATGAGCTACAGATATAAATTACATCTATATTTTATATTACATTACAAATATACATTTTTATGAGGGGTGAGTAAGAAGGTGTCCTTCCAGACATTTTCATGTACTAAAAACATTTCGACAGGTTAAAAGGGAGGTTGGAGATGTGTCAATTTTGGTGAACAATGCAGGCATGGTAACAGGCAAATACACTTTTGTTGAAGCCCCTGACAATCTGGTGGATAGAACACTAAGGGTCAATGTTGCTGCTCATTTCTGGGTAAGGAAAAGTAATTCAGCGTTTTCTTCACAGTGTACATTCCTTATACCTCTGTTTTTATGTTATGGGAACAGTGAGCTTACTGTTATCTTAAAAACATCCTGATATGTGCATTCACAGACTTACAAGGCATTGCTCCCAGCTATGTTGCAACGAAACCATGGGCATCTGGTCTGTGTGGCATGCCATGGAGCGTTGTTTGCAATGAACGCCCTTGCAGGTATATTTGTAAAGGGATTTCAGAGACACTGTCACTGTGCAACACTAAATCATGAATGTGCAATGTCCTAAATTCAGTATTAAATTAGGATACAATTTAAAAATGGATTAGGATTGCTAACACATTTTATCCACAGACTATTGTGCAAGCAAGTCTGCAGCAGTGAGCTTTGCAGAATCTGTTGCACTGGAGCTGCTTGTCCTTAAAAAGGAAGGAATCAAAACAACAATAGTGTGTCCCTATCTACTAAATACCAAAATGTTTAGGGGATGTCAAACAAAGTAAGTCAATACAATTTCCATACGAAAGCTCATTAGAAATTTGTGCTCTTTGTGATGCAGTAACATTGATATTCTACCTTTGCTAAGGAGACCATCCTTTCTTCCAATCTTGGATCAGAGATATGTAGCAAAACAAATTGTGGATGCAATACTACAGGAGAAGATGTATTTGCTGTTACCCTCAAGTCTACATTTCTTGGTGGCACTTAAGAGGTATTTTAGGCCTCTAAATGCTTGTTAATGTAGATTTAAATTCAGTTTATTAATCAACATTTAATGATTACGTAATTAATTGTATTAAATTGAATACATCTCAACAACCACAATATTACCTTGACCTGTTCTTGCAGTCTCATGCCTGCCAAACTGGGCATCATCTTTGTGAACTTCATTGGTGGCATGGATCTGATGGATCACTTCAGGGGGGATCCTGTACCCATTATCAGCTACAAAAAGCCTCAGCGCCAACGAAATGACAGTGTCAGTGATCCACAAACCACTCTTATCTATTACAACTAGCAAAAAACAGTGTAAATCACCAGTGATCTTAAATGTATGAGTAATATCAGTCTACTCAAGTATACCTGTGTTAAATAATTACAGAACTGTGAATAAATTCCTTTTTTCCCCTCTCTCTCTCTCTCTGGGGTTAATTTGTCTTCTCAAATTCAATAGCAAATTCAAAATATTCAAATTTTTGTTTCATACGTATATACATACACATTTGTATGTTACATACTCTGTAATATATTCATTTTTGCTCAGTTTAAAGGAATAGTTCACCCAAAAATGAACATTTTCAGAAAATTGACTCTTTCCAAGTTTACACCATCCAAGATGTAGATGAGTTTGTTTATTCATCGTAACAAGTTTAGAGAAATGTAGCATTACACTTGGATCTCTCACCAGTGGATCCTCTGCAGTGAATGGGTGCCGTCAAAATGAGAGATCAAACAGATGATAAAAACATCACAATAAACCAGTAATCCACATGACTCCAGTCCATCAATTCACAAATAGTTTTGTGAAATGAAAAGTTGCACGTCCTCTCACATTAAAACCCACCAACATATTTGTTTAGAATTGTGCACTATTTTCACTTGTAAATGGTGTTTGATCTGTGCAGATTTCTCTCCTGATTCAGACAAGATGACTTTTTCACTGTAGAAAGCAATATTATGGATGGAGGCCTCATAATTTTAGCCGGGAGCAAAGATTAGAAGTTTGGAAGGATGTCTTAATAATAGATTTGTTTCTTACAAACACACAACATTTCACTTCACAAGACATTACTCAAAGGACTGGAGTCGTGTGTATTACCTGTGGATTATTGTGATGTTTTTATCAGCTGTTTGGACTCTCATTATGACAGCACCCATTCACTGCAGAGGATCCATTAGTGGGCAAATGATGTAATACTAAATTTCTCCAAATCTGTTCAGATGAAGAAACAAACTCTTCTACATCTTGGATGGCCTGAAGGTGAGTAAATTTTCACCTTTGGGTGAAATTCATTTAACTGAGAATACCAGTGGATCTGGATCTGGAGGTGGCATTAAATCTTTAGAACTCTTTCTGATTTTCACTAGTGTGGTTATAAATATACAATATAATTTCTTCTTTCTATTTTGGGATATCCTATGTTGTGAGACTTACACACAGGTTAAAACACACTAGATACATATTCTTTTAGTAATTTATTATTAATTTTTTTAAACAAAAATGTCAAGAAAATTAAAAATAAAGCATTTTTGTAATTTTTGTGAATGAAGCCTAGAGCAGGCCTCTTCCCCCTCCTCTCTGACGTGGTGACGCGCAGTGATTTTCCACGCTAATATAAAACCAGATGGAAGCTCACACGCACGGCTCCACACTGCTGTGACTGGAGCAGAGCGTGGCTTTCTCTCGACTAACCAGAGCTCGTCTGGCTTAAACCCACTTAAAACATCGCAATCGGCCAGTGAGCTTCTTCTACATCAGGACTGCATATTTGGCCTAGATAGCGATATCTGAGATCGCTTATATTTAATCCGCATTCGGGTGAACATCACCTTGAGCAGCGTGGTTTTCACGTGGGAACTTCGGCGAAAAGGGAAAACGCACGTGCAACGCAACCAGTTCGGTTCACATACTTTTAAGCGCTAGATATTCTCTGAGATTCTGTTTGCGTTTATTAGTACTAAGCCATGTTGCTGAAAATGGCATCTTTAGTATTGGAGGACGGGACAACATTTAAAGGCCGTCTGTTCGGTGCCGTATCCTCAGTGTCTGGTGAAGTTGGTAAGTGAAATCAAAGAAAATGTACTGGAAATATCTGTCCCTCAGCCCTGTTTTCTGCCACTGCTCCTTATCACACACTTGTTCTGTTTTCTCTAACCGGAAAGCGTGACTAATAAATGTGTAACTGAATTTCAGGAAGTTACACGTGTCTGATTTCCCGCTAAACGTTTAAAAGTGAACACTCGCCAGTAGCCACTTCCTAGGGCATGTGTGACACATTCCTGACGTCCCAGACATCGTTTTAGGTTCATTCTTGGCTCAGTGACATAAATATATATATTTTTAAGTTTATTTTGTGGTTTAGCGTCGTAAATCGTCAAAATTAAGTGAACATTTGTCTTGCCATATACTTTTTATGTGTTTTATGTCTACAGTTAGCTGTAGTCATCATTAATTTAAAAAAGTTTATCAATATAAAAAACAGTCAGCAAATGTTTCTTTACTGTTTAAAAAAATAGTTTAGCAAAGTTAAACAGGGTTTAATAGAATTTTCACGGACACTTTTATTCTCAGCAACACTTGTATGTGTCAGAAAAGATGTATTTTCTCCCCCAAATTTAGAGTTTTTT